GTTTTCTTAAAGGTTTTAAAAGACACTTCATCAGAACTAAATAGTTCTTCCATGCTGGAGAAACAAAAGCCAAAAGCTTCACACCTCTTTTAACTGAAATATGCTTAGTGATAGTGGTAGGCCTAACTTCTATGTTTAAGGTACTTCGTTTCATTGACATGTTGTACGCAAATAGACCCAGTAATAAAATATCCAGACATCATGAATCTCATTTGTTTCTAGCTGTGACTAGTGCAGAAAGGGATTAGATATGGATCTGTATTATGCCCTCTTGTACCGAACTGTGAAATCTCAGAAGCCAGCTGAAGAGGTCTAATCTTCAGACAAACAACCTGATCTTTTTCCCAACGATAGGATTAATAACCTGTAGGTAAAGCAATGATATTTGTAAACACACTTCTGACTTTCCCGAGGGCTGTAGTTTCGAATGTAGTTCCCTTTTTTATGCAAAAGGACCTGACAGGATTGTGACAAGAATTCTGACACCTTCCTCCTCTCTGTGCCCTTGTAGCAAAGGTGAGGCAACGTTCATGGTATTGCATCACTTACTTGGTTTGATGTGAAAAAGGATATATGCACCTTGTATTGAGAGAGACTGTTTTGCAAAGTCAAACCTTTAGGAAGAGCATTTGATTAGATGAAAACAGCCAAAAATATAGAAAAATAGCTGCACTTCCTTAACACTGTGCTGTTAAGGAAAAGAGAGAGAGAGGAAACAAAAACAAGTAAATTAAATATCAAACTCCTAAATGTGAGAACACTTAATTGTTCACGTGGCGTGTTCTTTTTGGTAATACTGGAGAAAAGGTATCTGAAAGCACACACTGCTCTTAAATTCACAAATGGTCCCTAGGCTGATGATGCTATTTTTATTATGACTGCTTCAGCTTGACTGTAAACCAGATGTTGAAGCAATCACACAGCATTTCGCTTATGTGAGATGCTTATCAACAGAGGCCAGAGGCTTAGACCATATATTTTATTGCAGTATACTTGACGCCTCCAAACCTTTGCATATGCTTTGCAATTCCTGAGTGTGCCAACTGGTAAAGCAGTAGGATGGTGGTAAAAACAAATTACAGTGGAACATATTAGTGTTGTGACTGTAAAATCTGCAGTTCAGTTTTGCGGAAAAACAATGGCTTTGTTGCTTTCTTCTTCTGTCTCATTCATGTTACTTGTGAAATTGTTTTTAAAATTTGAGCATATGCTATAAAATCTTCTTTAGTAAGCTTTGCATTGATTTGCATTTGCAAATCTGCTTTGCAAACAGATAAAAGACCACCTGACTATTAAGTGGTGGTTGAAATCTGTTTTGGTAGTTGGTACTGCTTTAATAAAAAAAAGAAAAAGAGTGAAGTAAAGTGAAAAATGCTGTAATTTGTACAACTGAGTGCTTCACTTACAGCAAAGAGCTGTGATTTCTGGTCTGCTCAACCAGACATTTCTTAAAACAAGGATAATAGCTCTGAGAGCAAAGTACACAAAACCTGACCCAGTAGCCTCATTTTAGCTTTTATCTCCTGGTTCATTTTCCAGGAAAGAATCCTATTTTTCTGTCAGATGAAATATCATAATTCGTATTGAGATTAGCAGCCTGTGTATAAAGCAATATTTTGTGAGCTTCTCCCTCCCTGTACACACACAAACACGACAAAATTCTGGATGGAGGAATGTCTTTTGAACATTTTGAACCTTTTTATCATCTGATACACACCAGAAAAAAATACAAAAGAGAAAGATAAATGGCAGTTTCTGCCCTTCCCTAGCAATTTCCACATACTTGTCAAGTTGCTGTGAAGTCTTTATGCCTCAGGAACAGATGAAATCTGGGAAAATGAATACTGTTACAAGCCACCCCAGTCTCTGCTGAGTGGCAGAAGATTCCAGGGATCCTGGCACTTAACCAAGGTTTGTGTTTTCTTTGGGAAAAATGAGGCACAGTGTCTTTAAGAAGTATAGTTTATTTACACATATTTACATCTGAATTTAGATGGGGAGAGAATTCACAGCATTCACTGCTCAAGAGGGGCTTGTCCTTCCCAGCAACACAGCATTGGATTCTGAGGCATCCTAAGTGCCATCTCTGTCTCTCTCTTTGTAACATCCTGCTCCAGTCAGTGAGCATGGCTGCTGTCCTTCAGTACCTGCATTGAGTTGCTCCCCTCCCTTCTCCTTGTTTCCAGCAGCACTTGCAAAAAGCAACTCTTCCCCTTCTGTATCTCCCTCCGCCCCCAATCATCCTGGCAACCTCTTGTTTCTCAAGGCCATTGCAGAAGACCCTTTTCCCTGTTGCTTACATCAGGCCATTGGTAATCCAACCCCAGAAGCTCCTGGGCAGAGAGTTTTATGTTTTGCCAGTGGCTTACCATTATCAAACAAACCAGGCCATTATCAGCCTTCTGTTTCTTCAACAACCTACTCTCAGCCAGCTTTGCCAAGTTGGCCTCATGAGGAAGCTAGCTGGTATTATTTCCAGCCCTTGCTAAATTTATGAGTTTGCTCAAATTTCAACCCCTCACTGAACGTAGAGATTATTTCGGGGGTGGGGCCATCCTCCCAAATCATAATACAGTAAGGAAGTATAGCTCTTTTCAAGCCTGGTAGATCCAGTTCTCCCAGGCAGTAGAAATAAAGCCCCAAAGCCTAAGGCAATTCATATATTTAGATACCTATTGTGTTTCTGGGTGAGGAGGTATAGTTTTCTTGCAAAATCAACCCTAAACTACAGTGTAGAAAACTTGCTTAACCAGATAATCAGATTCCTGCAGGGGAAAGTGATTGGGGGACAAAACATACTGGTGGTGGGCATAGCCCAAGCCCAAGTGGGTTGGGCCAAAACAGACACACCCATTTGCACACACAACTTGACATTTCTCAGTTTGGCTTCTATGGTGTGCTGAGAAAGGGAACAGCAATACAGCAAGCTGGAATGTGGCAAGCATTTCTTTCTGTACATTACTAGCTTCCTTCTCAGCCCATTTTCCAATGAAAAAAAAAATAGTGCCAGCTGTATTGGTCTGATGAAGCAGATTGCTGTGTCCCTGCTTTGCCAGCCCAATCAGCTTCCGTACTGGCTGTAGAGAGACGGAAGACTATTCTTCTGACAGTTTAGAAGCCAATTGGGCTGGTGAGTGTTCCTCTGCCAGTATAGAAACCGATCAGGCTAGCAAAGCGTGGACAGAATACCTCCTCTTTCTAACACTCTAACAACTTGATTTTACTATCAATAATTTTGTTCTCTTCTATCAATTCTTCACATTTTCTTTATAATTCCCATCTAGCTCTTTCTCCTCTTTGCAATCTATACTAATTCTTCCTGCTTCCTCACATACTATTAAATCTACATTTTCATCTACATTAATCCTCTTACCTTTGCCTATTAACCAACTTTTTTGCAATCTGTTATATCATTTTCTTACCTATTTTTTGCATAGTTGAGTAAGTTGTTCCCAACCAACAACATATCTTTTTCATTAAATCTTATCTATTTCGTTCCCTATTCTCAATTCTGATGTTACCAAAATCCCCCTTAAGATGTATAACTTTCATTAAGCATATTTGTAAGATTAAACTTGGCAAACCACTGGCTATTTGGTCCAGATGCTAGTTTTCATATGATCAAGGTCCATTAATCATTTTCCCACTTCTGGTTTGCAGTTTTGTGACTGAAAGTGGAAATAGTGGCATGCTGAAGGCCAGGTTGTAGGTTCAAGGCTGAAATGGCTTTATAGAGGGACTTCCTAGTCATAGCTATCACTCTGCATTTTAGTTAACCTAAGAGCCTGCTCTTTCCATTCATTTTATTATTACTATCATTGGAGAGAGAGAGAGAGAGCCCTTCATTTCATTTTGAATAACCTCTTGTTTTTCTTTTATTTCTCTGCCCCAGTACTGTATAACAAACAACATTTTTATCATTTTTGCCGCCTCTCCACTCCCTACTTACCATTTTTCTCTTCCCTCCCATCTGCTAGGATTGATTGGCAAGTTTATTCACATTTATTTAAAACACTTATTCATGAGAATAGGGCTGGCCTTGTGTGGATATTATACAGTACTAGAAATGATTATATGCAGATTGGAGCGAGTAAGGGGGAGTTTTTATCTATCTATGTAGCATTTGTTTTTCAGCCCTTCCAAATTTTGAAAATCAATAGCATCACTAATAACTTTAAGTATATTTCTATTTTTATTTCAAAACTGAACTGAGATAGTCCCTCCCTGAAAAAAGTAATTCAATCAATGAAAGTTAGTGGGTACAAAAGCCTTGTTTTTGTTGTTATTCTCAGAATGCAGATTTGCTTAAAGATGTGAGCTTTTAAGAAATTTCTCATGCAGGATGCGTTTTCATAATACCAAATGAAATAATTTGTTCTTTATGAAATAAGAGCTTGAGGGAGTAGCAGTACTAACAAGCCCAGTTGAGTTCTTTTTCTGTTTACAGAAACAAAGTCAGAGATATTGCTAAATTTGGGGAAAATATAACAAAGCAGACTGATCCATTAAACCCAGCTGACTAAACCTTTCAAAAGACTATGTGACAGCTCTGCACTTAGCTGTGAGAAGGTAAAACCATAGATGCTATGGGGAGGAACTTAAGTTTCTACCTCCTCTCAATCATTTTAATTGTAACCAAGCCACATATGTCCTGGTTCACACATTACATGAACACGTGTTAGCCTGTGTAACCATGGAGATACGGCATTTGGACTCTTTGATCAAGATTCCATTGAATACCACAGAGATTCTGTGTCCAGGGCAGCTGTTTATCAGCTCCATCTGGTACGCAGGCTGAGACCCTACCTGCCCACAGACTGTCTTGCCAGAGTGGTGCATGCTCTAGTTATCTCTTGCTTGGACTACTGCAATGTGCTCTATGTGGGGCTATCTTTGAAGGTGATCCAGAAACTACAACTAATCCAGAATGCGGCAGCTAGACTGGTGACTGGGAGCGGCTGCCGAGATCTTGAAAGACCCACACTGGCTCCCAGTACGTTTCCGAGCACAATTCAAAGTGTTGGTGCTGACCTTTAAAGCCCTAAACGGCCTCGGTCCAGTATACCTGAAGGAGCGTCTCCACCTCCATCGTTCTGCCCGGACACTGAGGTCCAGCGCCGAGGGCCTTCTGGTGGTTCCCTCGCTGCGAGAAGCCAAGTTACAGGGAACCAGGCAGAGGGCCTTCTTGGTAGTGGCACCTGCCCTGTGGAACACCCACCAGATGTCAAGGAGAAAAATAACTACCAAACTTTTAGAAGACATCTGAAGGCAGCCCTGTTTAGGGAAGCTTTTAATGTTTCATAGGTTATTGTATTTTAGTGTTTTGTTGGAAGCCGCCCAGAGTGGCTGGGGAAACCCAGCCAAATGGGTGGGGTATAAATAATAAACTATTATTATTATAAATTATTGTGCCTGAGCAGGGAAAGTACCAAATGCAATGTTACAGAGTACTTAGTTATTACAAGGTTATATGCAAACTCAAATTGCCTGGGACACTATCTTATACTTTGTTTCAATGATACAGATAGAAATAACTGAAAGTCTAATAGTTGGGGCGGCAAACAATCTGGAAGGGTAAAATGAAGGCCTATATACACCAGAGCAGAGGCTGCCAAACTTTTGGGACTTATGAGCATATTTGAAATTTTGAGAAAGTTCTATGTACCCTCCCCTCGGGTTGCTTATATTTGTTGGCTATTTGCAGTATGGTAGCGCTGCAGAGAGCTTGCTGGGGAGACCATGCATTAAAAAGGGACTCAAAAATAACTTAAACAAGGTTTTAATAACAAAAACCAAAACTCCTTATACACTAAATACATCAACAAACCAGACCCAACCACCAACCCATCCCCCAGGGTACTGGGAGAGCTAGGTGCTGCTCCTTATATACTACACCCAATTGCTGACACAGCTTAATCAACACAACTCAGCAGCACCTGCTATGCTCCACAGCTGCAAAGCTGGGTTTCGTTATTTTGCTCTGGCCCTTGCTCTGGCCCCTTAAAGACATACACATCGGGTGGAACAATGATGAACCTTTACATTTAAAGAAACAATTCAACAATATCACCTGTGGCCCAGGTCACTCTCTGCTCCACTGAAAGGCAGAAAAAAAGAGATTGCTCATGCACATACACTAATTCTTTGCTTTTCCATAGGGACTTGACAACAGTTGAACCAGTTATTTAAAAATATCACTTGAATTTGCATGATTTTACACAGGGTACCTCTCATGTAACTCCCACCTCCCCATACACCCTCCAACAAATTAAAGGTTATAATGGTAGACTGCAAACAAAACAAAAATCATGGATCTAGTACTATCTCTATTAATTTTTTTTGATATCTAGTATTCAAGTTCTTTATTTTACTGTTTAATATTGTATTGAATTGATTCTTTCCTGTATCCTGTCTTGCTATTTTATAACAAAAGGCAGTCTATACACATTTTAATAAATAAATGCGAGGAATTCCCGACAGCTATCATCACTTTGTGCGTTGAAGGCAAATGCTGGCCTCAGGAGTATCCCAGTTTCTTTAGGGAAGCCACAGTAGGAAATCGAACTGCTCCCAAATTGCTAACATAAACTGACTTACCTTGAAATGGAAGTAAGATGCTCCATGCCATGATTTAATAGTTATAAAGCTGAACATCTATTTACACGTTTTATAACAGCTTGCATGCCATTTGTGTGTGTATTAATGTTCTAAGACATAAAGTGAATATTCTTAATGTTGAATTCTTAATGCGAGCTGAAGTGAAGACAGCTCCTAATGTACCTAAACTGGAGGCAAGGTGGAGTGGGGAAGTTCCAGCTACTTTGACAAGAAAATAGATTAATGTTTGTTGTTTAAGCCAGACTTCCTTTTCTTCCAATAGTTTTTCTATCTAGAAAATTCTGTAGTTTAGAAGAACTTGAGGTTTCAAACGGAAGGATAATATAAAGATTAACCATAGTCTTTTCTCCTTCCTATCATATCTCGAAAATGAAACTGGCTTAAATGGCATTCTCTAAAATCTAATAATTATTGTAATAAAGAATACTTTATTTCAGTAAAAAACAAAACAAATTGAATGTAAAATTGTGTGTGTGTGTGTGTGAGAGAGAGAGAGAGAGAGAGAGAGAATGAGAGTGTGTGACAGATACTAAGCCTCATTAAATCAGAATTCTAAAGAGGGCCCTATCTTTTAAAGGCAGAGCAGGTATTGTCCTGATGAGTTGGGGGCAGCCCACCAATTGGCAGGCCCATTGGGTGATAAATGTCCTAAGGCCCCAAGGCTGAGGACACATTTTTCATCATTAATCTATCCCATTGTGAACTGGTCCACTCACATTGATTCCAACTAGGGGGCATCATCTGCTGTTAAAAGGGTGATGACTCGCTAAAAATGAAGGCCTGAAACTAATCACGTATAGTTAGAGCCTTTGCTGGCAGCTTGCTTAGATAGCTGTAGGGTACTAATAGGAAAGCACTAGACATTTGGGCAGACACTTCTCAGCTTTGTATGGGAATGCAGTAGGCCCCTTTGAAAGCACATCATGCGATTTTAGCTATTGATGAATAAAATACTACTGAGATAAATCCTTGGTCTTGTGTTATTTTTTTGTTCTCTTGCTGGCTGCCTTTGCAGTAATAAAAATACAAAATAAAACAGTAGGATTCTTAAACATAATGCAGTGCCCAGCCTGTCAAGCTAGGATCATACTAAATGATTCACTTACAAAGAATTTCCTTTGCAAAAATCCTTGTCACACTGTCTAATTCGTCTGTCTGTCTCTCTGGGTTTCAGTGTAGCCTCTTATTTATCTAAGGGCCTTGCTACTCCTGTGTGCAAGTAACACAGGTGCTTGCCTTTGCCTTTGATGTTGCTTATTAATTTATACCAGCTGGGATGTTAAAAAAAAGTTCTCATTCAGTTTGAGCTTCCAGTAAAGCTGTTGATGCAGTACTGTTGAATCCAAGTTGTATTTTTCTGCTGTAATGGAAATGGGTAAGATTTTTATTTGGTTATTTTTCTTGTCTTAACCATGGCCCTAACTTTAAAAAAAAAACAAATTCAAATTAACATGACTGGGAGTGAGTTTCCTTTTCAAAGTTTGAAATAGTTCATGTTGCTGGAGGGGCTTCTTCCTTATAAACAACTTCCTCCCTATAGGGTTCTCCTGAGAGTTCACATTCAGGAAGCAATGCAACTTTAATTAGTGGTATATACAGTCATCAACCATTGTTAAAGACACTGCCCAAAGTAAAGGGTTATTACTGTGGCAGCCACTGTTTTCCAATGATTTTATTTTGGGATGTATAAGGTCTCATAACTAGTTGGGTCTAACAGCTAGGATTTGACCTGACAGGTTAGCATGGTTAAAATGAACTTATGCCCTAGTACAACAGCATACCAATATCACAAACAGTCATATTATAGCAGTATTATGAGAATGTATGGCAACAGATACAGAACATTTGGTCACTATGGTCTATTATGCTGCCTCCATTATTTAAAATTAAGGATATCATATACAAATCAGGGTATTTTGAACATAGCCTTAAATGCTTGATGTGTTGCTTTGTGATGAACCAATACAAAAACTTTGTTTGAGGTTCTGTTTTAAAGCTTTAACGTTTGACCTTTTTTAAGTTAATCCCTATAAACACCCCCCCCCATGTGAATATCTGATTTGTTTCTTCACTCCTCTTTTCATTTCTGCTTCAGTATTTTACATACATTATCCACTGGCAGGCTGTGGCCCTCCTGATGTTTGGCTTCTAACTCCCATGAGCCCCATCTAGCATGGCTTGCAGTCAGGAATAAAAGAAGTTGTAGTTTCCCACCTGTGATTTACATGTTTTGAAACTGTAGTAGACCCATGCCTGCTGTGTGAAAGAGGCTAAAATAGAAAGCAAATACATAAAACCAGAAAGCAAATGCATAAGCATATGAGTAAGCCCATAAAGAACCTACCGTGGATTGTGAAAGTCATTTATTAATTCAATTCCCAGCCTTATGCAGGAAATCCTTTATAGGAGTGCTAGAACTAGGCACTGGGATTCCAAAGCTGGAGCAAGAGAATAGTTCATTTATAGTTGATGCATTTCTGGAAGCCATAGGCTGAATTATGTACGTTGCACAGTATCTTAAGAATGATCGGAAGAGTCTTGTTGCATCCAGCCAAAGGCCTCCATAGTGCGGTAAACAGTTTCCACACTGGCCAGCCAGGCGCTTGGAGGAAGCCCATACAAGCAGGATATGAGGGCAATAGTGTATGGTGTGCTGGGGCTGCACCACTCCCCTGGCCTCCCTTTGACTGAGTCACTGCTGCATACCAGGATAACAAGGAGGTGAGGAAAGTGGAAGTGATGCTAATATGGTGCAAATGTGTTAGCAGAAGTGACAGAGTGGCTCCACTGCCAGGTTTGCACCATGCTGATCTCACCACCACTTGAGAGACTCCGCTGGAGGGAGGTGATATGAGTGGTACAGCACCGTCTGTTCTGCCACTGCACAAGGGCAATAAGCATCTCCCAACTACTGTTCTTCATCAACTCTTAGTCAGGGACATGCTGCCTTCCTTTGATTCTGGAAACAGCATATTTCCATCATTATTTGTAGCCACTGATAGCAGTTTATAAAGTTTAATCAACTCTAGGTAAAACTGCATGATCTTTGCATGGGACTTGATGCCATTTTAGCAGTGCTAGAGCCACAGTGCCTAAACTGTGGGGGATGGGGAGGGTTTTACTTAAATCACAAGAAAACTAATTGGGAATAGTTTCCATTCAACATTTTGGTTCATAAACACACAGTGTGGAGTAGCTTGATAAGAACATATGCATAAATGGAGACGTAAAAACCTGGTGCCCATTGAACCCCTTTGAACAACTACAGCACAGTGGAATTGGAGAAGATCTGCCTAGGTATTGCGTACTTAGGGTTGCCATATTTCAAAAGGTAAAAACCAGGACACCCCAAAAGTTGTTGAGCTTACCTAAGATCCAGGACAAAGCACCACATTTTGGAAATTCCCCATTTGAAATCCTGGTAAAATCTGGATGTATGGCAGCCCTGTGTGTACTTGACTATCTGTGTGCTTTTGCTGCCTCACTGAGCTGCTATTCTGAGACAGTTGAGGTCCTTTGTAAGTGCTAGGAGATCTGGAATCTTGGCTTCTTCCCTGAGAGACAAAAGAGAGGCTGTCCTAAGAAGAAACTTGAACACTTGCAGTTTCTTGCATCAGTGCTTGATGCATTGATAAACAGCCAATACCTCTTAGATTAGAAAACTTTGATAAATCCTATGTAGAGGGGAAATTGGGTTTGCTTTCCTGGATACAATGGTTTAGTAAAATTGACTCTGATCTGTTGCACAGAATTTAGTCATATCACATAATAAGATTGCTATGTACAAAAAAATATGCAAACTTAAAAAAATATAATTTGGACATAATACACATTTTGTGGCATTCAGTAAATCAGGTTCTTGAATTTATCCTATATGTATAGTTAAATGAATGAAATATTATTCCACGTGCACGTTCAGAACCCAAGAGAAGATTTTAACAAAACAAAACAAAAACCCACTACCCTATGCAAAGAGCACAAAAGTCAGCCAACTGTGAAATTACAGATCATCTGGATTTCCCTCTAGTTTTGACTGTTTCAGTGAGCTAGAATCGGCACATTTTCTGCAGTCTACAGCTCTTGGAGTTCATAGTGTTTTATACCAATTTGCTGCAGTTGATTACATGTCCATCTTACTACAGCACTTTTTTGAGTATGCTTGATGGTTTATAGCAAATGTCTTGCAGAGATAATACAGTAAGATAATGCTATTGATAGCTAATATGCAGCTGCCAAGCTGCTCCCTTAAAACAGAATACTAAATGAGAAAAATGTATGGGAATACATGTTTATATGCAACTAGTATATATTTAAATAGAATGAATAAGTAGATCTCTATTTGTAGGACTGAATGAACTGTTTATTTCTCTGTTTACTACGGTATATTGCTTAACTTTGGTGTTCCATTAATAAGAATTTGTAAACTGTTGCATATGTACGGGCATGTTTGATCTTTGTATGAGCCAAGAGCCTGAGCTGGAGGAGAACAGAACTATTGTCATATCTTCTAACATTTCATAGATGAGAACAGGAACATTTCCTCCTACATAACTGATCCACTTCTAATTTCTCCTCTCAGTTTCCTTCCTGAAACTCATCTACAAAATAGTTTTTTCCTCCTGGTCTTTCCCTATTCTATCATGAATATTTTTTGCCAAGTTTTGTCTGAAACCTATCCCAGAAGATGGGTTTCAGTTGAATCTGGTTTTAAATACCAAGTGAATAAGAGTTTCCTTGAGCATACACAGAATATTTTCTCTTATAAATGAACAATGGTAATCTCCGGTTTGAGATGTACATTTATTCCCCAAAGAATCCTGAGATGTGTAGTTTGTTAAATGTTCTAAGAGTTGTTAGAAAAGCCTTATTTTCCTCATAGAGCTACAGTTCCAAGAGGGAAGTGGGACTGATTGTTAAACCACTTTGGAAATTGTAAGTCTGTGAAGCAAAAGGGGTCTCCTAACAACTCTCAGCACCCTTAAGAAACTACCGGTACACTTCCTAAGATTTCCATGACTGTTTAAGCTGGGATGATACAGCTTTTACATAGTGTAGATGGGGTCTCAGTGTCAGGCATCTTCTTACATGATTTAGGGTGAAAGATTGGATGGATGATTCACTGACAAGATGCAGAAGGCAAGAAGGGTTTGGAAAAACAATAGAGTACTTGATAGAGAATACGGTATTTACAGTAGATACTGAATAACGGTTCTGCCCTTTGCTCTGTAGCTGAAGGTTTCATTCTGTAAAGGGCTGAAAGATAATACTTTCTTCTTTCTCTTCTGCAGTGTAGTCAAGGTCAACAGACCCAATTCCACTTTCTTTTGCTCTTCTAGAGGTGCAAAATTGAAATGTCTTTAAATTAAAAGTCATTACATTTATAAGTATGTCTCTGAAGCAGTTGATTATTTAAATACTAAAGGCACTTATACCTTAAATTCCAGCAGGGCTGCTGTTAGTTTATTGTTGCACTTTTAGCACAGAGGTCTGGCCCATTCAAACTCATGTCTCATAGAGTCCCATAGGAATATTTGTTGGATTGTGCTGTGATAGCTGATTATTGAACACAAATATTCTATGGCCAGTTAGAGGTTATAGAACAATGACATTTGTAGAAATTAGGGTTCCTGTAATGGCCTGTATAGGGGACATTCCATTAGAGTGGAAAATACATATCTGTAGATATGGGGCATTCTGTTTTCAGCTGGACAATTTACAATATAATATTAACATAGGTGCTTGATCTTTCAAGCCTTTTTGACTCCCAAGAGCCCATTATTCTTGACCTAATTAATATTAAGAGGCCAATACTATTTAGGAAGTAGGTTTAAATGGGTAATCAATCTAATGTTGGTTTGTGAATAGTCCAAGATTTATGATTTGATTTTCCTACCCTCTGAGAATGTTGCCTAAATTTATTTCCATTGCAAAATATTTGTTTGTTCATATTTTCTTAATCAGTGTGTTGAGATTGTAATTGTCTTCTGAAAAAATATTTCCAATACGGTTGTTGGCTATGGTTGTGAGGTATTCTAAAAATTTCTGTCCCAAACAAAGAGAAACCATTATAGTTTTTCTGGTGATCTGGATACTTAGGTGATAAATGGCTTGGATAAAAGAGGATTAGAGAGAGAGAGAGTGGCACAACATACCAGATTACACTATATACTTTGCTCTGTATTTCATTGCACTTAAAGCTCTTAGTATTAATCTCTGTCCACTATAAAGCACCATTATTTTGGACCAACATTTTCTACTCTGCCTTTAATTATTAAAGCCATAAAAATGTCAGACTTGGAAATACTTCCAGTTTGGATTGTTATTTAAACACTTTCAAGAGGAGCTGTGTTAGTTTGCTGTAAAAAAATAAAACAAAGATTCCCATACTACCTTAAGGATGACTTACTACATAATACAGTTTCATAGATAAAGTAGATGGTTTTACTTTAGAATAGTGCATGAGTAAAGTTCATTGCCTAGGTACTTGCCAGATAATTTTCGTACCTATTGATAATACCTTATGGAAGAGTAATATCTTTGCCAAACTCGCCAGATATTGGTATTATTCAGATACCAGTAATACCTTGGCCAAACTACATTTCCTAGTACAGTGTTTCTCTTTTTTGTGTGCTTTGTCAAGAAAGATTAATATCTTCCACCATTAAGACGTTAATTAATTTTCAGTCTTGTACACCTCCACTATCCATTTATCTTTTCTGAAAAGACAAATTATTACATAACTTTGAACTACTCTCCTGAGCTTTATTACTAGTATAGTAAGAACATTGTTTTAACAGAAGCATTTATTACAGAAATTTAAGAAACACAATCAAATGAACAGTAAATATCACTCTAATATTCAGCATTACAGTTCTGACTCCATTTGTCTCGTGCTATTTTTTTCTCTAAACAATTAAAAAGAGTCCTTGTTCTTCTGTTCCCTATCTTGTGCAGTTTGCATTCTTAAATATGTAGCAAAAATAGAAGAAATGACATTGTTTTTAACTGAGAACAACATGCTTCTGCTGAAGTACTGTGACTGGCTATACCACGAGGCCCAGTGTCAGCAGAGCATCATGAGGTGCATGTCCTCTAGAGTCCAGTGGGGCTGATTGCACTCACTTTCACTGGCAGGCTTACCTGGCAGTCACAATTGTAGCCCAACCCTGCCATGGAGGTAAGCCCACTCACAAAGCATACAGTTACAGCCCTGCTAGATCAGACCAGCAGACCTGTCATTGGCTACCAGCTAGTAGCTGTTGGTAGGCTTATCCTCTGTGCATTTGTATAGGCACCCAAGTTGGTAACTATTGCAAAGAGAGAATGGCAGCTGCCTCCTTTGTCCTCACATGCATGTGAATGAACAGGCATGCCTGCAGTAACACCTGGGAAGCCTGTTTAAGAGGAAGGGGTAGAGGTAGGAGTTGCAGTGCTACCACCACCAGGAGGGTAAACTGGCAGGCATGGGGGGGGAACGGGGGGGGGGACTCATGAACCATGAGAATAATCTGTCAGAGCTCCCCCCACCATAAAAATGTGGATTCAGACTTGTATACTACTTAAACTCAGTGAAGTCAGTACACTTAGACATAAAAAGTTAGTACAGGACTGCTTGAAGTTTTTATGAATTATCATAAAGTTACATTAATATTTGCTTGGCATTATTTTCAGATCTTTCATCAGTTTTTAAATCCTTTAAAAACACACAATTTTTATTGAACAGAGGGGATAGTTGGATGGATATAATAGTTTGCAGTCAGGCAAATAAATGGTGATATTATAATGGATCCCATAAAAGTGTGGTTGCTTACGCCTCACGTTTTTAGAAATTAGATTCATTAGGCATCTGGTTTTATGGGCTGTTAAAGTTGGAAATCCCAAAGAACAATTCTTAGTCTTCAAATTTGAATGATCTACTATTTAGCTGATTCACTTCACTCTTGTCCGTGTTGCTTTAACACCAGTATATTTCTGACTCATTCTGCCTGTCTGTTCTTGACTATGAGTTCTAGAAGACCTGCTCCCTGCCTGGCAGGCCTGGCCCTGACTGACTGCAGCTATAAAAGCTGAGGCTGCTGAACAGACTCTTGGGTAGGGGCATTGTTTAGGGGGTTGTTGTTGCTTTTGATATTAATGTTTTGTATCTTTATTTTATATCTTATGATTTATGTTTGAATTGTTTCATTTGGTTGTGTACTTTTTGGTGTTCTTTTATTGTTTATGACTACTTTTGTTTGTAATTACACAATTTTTTTCATGTTGTAAGCTGCCTTTAGCCCGGTTTTAACTATGCATGTCTATTTACAGTAATGGGTGCAGGGTTATGGTATTCAAATAGTTAAAGAAGCTACTATTCTTGTATTTAATTTTAATCTTCCTTACAAATGTTTTTGCAATTTGCCATAAATATAGTGGATTCTCTGTTGATTAAGATGATGGATTCAGTATTGTCATTACGTTTTCTAAAGTTTTAGAACTTCAGTGTATCTAATTTCATAAGACATCCCATTCATGAGGCAATTAGTTTGTACAGCTGCATAAGCTTGTGTGGGGTTTTAGTTAAGCTATGTAAGCAAAAGCAAGTATCTTGGCTGTGAGTCCTGGAATACCTGTTCCCTGCCTTGCAGGCTTTTTCCCACCTAGCCTGGGAAGGCAGGGTCCTCACTGACTCCAGGTTCAAAAGCAGCACCTGCTGAAGAGGCCAGAGACCATCTTGGCTATGAGTCCTGTAAGACCTGCTCCCTGCAGGCCTGGGTGTGTGGGAGCCCTGACTGACTCCAGCTACAAAATATGAGGCTGTTGAACAGACAGTTGGGTTGGGTTATTGTTTAGGGGGGTTGGTTGGTGCAGGGTTGTTGATCTTCTTGTGGTTATTTATTTGTATCTTTATTTTGGATCTTATGATCTATCTGGAAATTGTTCATTTTGGTTGTATACTTTCTGATGATCCTGTCACGATTCCTTACCTTGGCTCCCAGGACTTGTAGGAATTGCTCCTCTGCTCTAATTCTTCATTCTGCTGAGTACCCCCATACCTTTGCTGAAGACCCTGCTCTTGCTGAATAGCCCCCCACCCCAATACAGCAGTACATTATAGGATTTTAAGTATCAATCAACCCAAAACACATGTAACTTTCTCTTTGTACTGAGGCCTGCCTGCCATTGCCTCTCTGTGAACCCTGCCAATGGCCCACTATAACATCAGTTTCTCTCCATTCTCATGTGCCATTGTGGTCTCTTTCTTAGATGCCATGACTTCAGTTCTAAAATAAGGCTTGTTCAGTCTGGGCAAATTCTTACTTCCCTAGCAGCGTCTCCCTACTCAATCCTGAATTGTTTAGGAGGATCACCTGAGTCTGTGGAGAAGCTTTTTGGGGAATGCAGGTGGCTGCAGGGGAGTCAGAGGGGACAGGAAACTTTTATTCCCTGTTCGTTAAATTGACTTATCGTAGGATCCCAGCCTATATACTTATAATTGTTCATTGAGGGAAGCTTGCATTATCAATTTTAGATTCCCCCCTCAGTCCAGAACTGAATTAAGATGGATGAATATGTGATATCACAGTCTGTGAACAATTCCCATTTTTAAGGGCCAAGTACTGGCCTATAACATGGGCACATGTTTGAACTGTTTTTAAGATTAGGGTAACACAAATGTATCTAAATTCATGTGACTGACAAAATTAACTTGTGTGAAAAGCTGATTGTGACCTTCAATGTTATCAAATACCTGGAAAAAATGCTTACAATTTTGGGTAATTATTATTTTTAATAGAATTCTACAACTGGGTATAGTGCAAGAAGGATGTTACACTTATTTCAGCACCAATTTGGCAGCAATCCTAACATTTACCCATGAGTAAGCCCCATTCAACTCAGTGCTACATCCTTTTCAGTAGACATGCATGAGATTGCCATGTTAGTTTGGACTAGCTTTAAGCATTAGTGAGTTCCTGGTTGTTGTTGTTATTATTATGATATTATTTATACCTCGCCCATCTGGCTGGGTGTCCCCAGCCACTCTGAGCTGCTCTTAATTGCATGTTCAGTTTTGTATTCCTGTTTTTGGGGGACAGGGGCTGAGTTGAAAATCCATGTTCTCATCACTACACAGTCAGTAAAATTTACCATTGTAAATAATTGTTAGAATTGCCTGCTATTGGGTGCTTTAAGCCTGCTAAATATATATAAATAATCTGACCTTTAAAGCATTATAATACAGAAATATTTCTGTAATGATAAATGTGATTTAAAAGGATAGGGACTTGTCCTCTTTTAGATAGGCATATTTTTTAAAGTAGGCATTCAATCCTTATGAGAAGTGTTGAGTTGTGACAGCCATACAAGATGGATTCCTGTATTTATCTGCGAAAGGGGCACAGCACAGGCAGCTGCAGTACATGCTTCCCGAGCAATGAGCCTGAACTCTGACCTAGAGATATCACCTCTGTGAGATGAGTCTTCATGCCCATTCAATCCTTGACCCTTCTGCTTCAGACTACCATTGACTTGGCCAATTTATGATGGGGACCCAGCGCTGTTCGTTTCATATCTATTGCCAGACTTGCTTTGAATGGTAATGACCTGGTGATAACCTGAACGCAGAGAGTCAAGCCAGTGTCCTAGAGGTGAAAGGCTGTCATTGCAACATTTATCATACACACCACACGTGCTTCCCTGTGGATATGTTCACATGTATTAAAACCGTTTTCTTTGTGAATGTCTGTTGCTTTTCATGTCTAAAGAAGAAATAAAACACAGAAAAGCAGGAATGAGACAGTCTTTCTTAACATTTTTTCTTCTTGTGCAGAGTTCTAGAATATAGACCTTGCAGGCATTTTCAGTATGACTCTTACTGATTTATATCAAAAAAGCATGGAGGTCTCTTGGTTGACCCTCCCTGTACATAGTATCCTTTATTCCCATTAGGGTGAAAGAGAGCCAGCTAATGCATTCAAGATTCACCCCCTCCCCATTTTTCCATTATTAATTAATTCTAACTCAGTCACTTTCGCTAAAGCTTTAATGGTGTCAAGGCCCTTTCCTCCCCCATTCCTTTCCAAAGGATTTGAATAACATTGCTCATTTAGAGCCTGTCTTAACCTCTGTATGGTTGGGCAATTTGAATTCTTATTCTTTCTTCCCCCCTTTTTCCCTCTATTCACTCTTCCAGTTGTTTAATGCTGATTCAGCCATGCATTACCAGTCAACCTTTATGTATAAATTCCATAATAAATTAAATAAAGCTCTGTGTGGGTCAGCTTAGGCTAGCCCGATTAAAAAATGATTTACTAAAGAGACACAGAGAGAGGGACAGTAGAATGTGCTTCTAAATCAATTATGAGTCCATTCACTGTCAGCCTGTTGTACATAATAGTGTATTAAAGTGCATTCTATAGTGTAAAAAAAATTGACTCTTTCGTTGAAAGTGAATTAATATTTGCAAGTGCATAATAATGTTTGAAAAGCTATAAACATTCGAATTTAATCCCTCATTTCAGGCTAAGTATATACAGCATGAATTATAATATCCAGATGAATCTTTATGTTGTGCTTATGTCATTTTTATAGCAAGATCCCCACAATGCAAAAAGTGAATCTGGGGTGGTGGCTATTCTTATAAGACTGAACATCAAGGGGAGAAATGGGGCCACTGAACTATGAAAATAAAATTGATTTCAAAGTTCAGTTCCGCATATAAAATGATAGTTGTGTTGGCAAATTATTACATACCGTCTTCTGTTTAGCATAAGTGTATTGCCCTTAGGATATACTGCTGTGGCCACTAAAGGAATATTGAATTGGTCTGGTGGAAGTAGAATAAATAATGATTTTTAAAGATACAGTCTCACTATGGCATGTAGGCACTATTAAAAGAAGTGTTTCCAATTATCCCATCTGGGCAGAAAGGTGGCAAGTGATACTAATGCTTCATGGTTAATTCTCACAATTTATTTCTATTCAAATTATTATTCTATGCTTAATATTGGATAGCTAAATGTTTGAATGGACAGCAAAAACCACTTCTTTTAAGGTGGTGTGATACAAAAATAAAATGTTTACGTTGAACTTAGTGGTAAGAACATTTGCGCCTACAAGTTTGATTGCAGTCATCAGGTAAGGACCATGGTGGAATCTGCACACATGTTAAAAAATGTTGTGAAAATGCTTTTTTTAAAAAAAAAATAAGTTTTTAAAAAATGCATTGAATTTGCTATAGCTCAACAGTCGTCATCTAGTGTCACAGTTGTATATAGCACTTTACAACACATTCGAAACGTTTTATTGGCAGCTGTATAGCTGAGTCCCACATCAGCCCTTTGCTGATTATGTATGGAAAAGTTTATCTTAATTGGGGTAATTATTTTGTGAAAAATTGCCAGATATCTCACATGATTATTTAAATCAGAGTTGAGTAATCTTTTTTTCTGTTGAGGGCCACTTCCCCTCAACTGTAGCGTGACAGAACTAATGGTGTTCTGGATTACAGAGTAAAAGATTGTCCTGCTTTTTCACCATGACTTCCTCAGTTTTGAATTCCCAACCCTATGCAGGTCTACTCTGAGTAAACCCTACTGGGTTTGATGGGGTTACTCTTGGATAAATATTCAGGATCATTATTTTTTAAATCAGCACAGCAGAGCTGTGCAGGTGCTGATCTTAAAGGCAATTTCTGACTTTAGGTACACACACACACACACACACACACACACACACACACGGGAAGTCTCCCAATTTGTTCTCCAAAAGGAAAAACTTTTTTAAAAAACAAAACATTTTTATCAAATAAGAAAAAATGACAGTTCTATTTTATTCTGAAATTACACGAGAAGAAGAGGGGAAACACTTTAAAAGCCACAGAAATGAATAAGAAATGAGTAGGAGGGAGGGATTTCTGATGGGATGGAAGAGTGGGGCAGCTTCAGGATGTTCAGGACCTGCATAAAATGAAGTTTGGCACCACGTGTGGGTCACAGGTTGCAGATTGCGTATCTGTGATCTAAATTATGCTTCTCACAAATAGCTCTAAGCACTCAAATGCATATGGTTTTATCATTAGGTCAAGAACCCTAGCATATCTTGAGGAGCATTAGAGTTGGAAAGTGTATGGCTATTTATAGGGCTTTTTTTCAGCCGGAACTCACTGGAACTCAGCACCTCTCAGGTGGGCGCCATTGCCATTTTAAGAGAACAAGGGAGGTGTTCGTGGTGAGTTCTGGCACCTCTTTCTCTAGAAAAATAGCGCTGGATGTTTATATGAGCACAGTGTGTGTATTTGGTGAGCAAATCCATTGAATCTGCTGGGTACATTAAAAACTAACAAACACAACAACAAAAAACTCCTCAGTCATATTGGATTATAGTGTTTCTATATATCAATCTTGAATAACACTGCATACAAATAAGAAAATACTAAGTACCAATGCAAGAAAAAATATAGTGATATGCAAACCAACCTTTCCCCCACTGCTTAATTCTGGGAACTGGTTAACTCTGGGAACTGTAGAGAAAAACTTCCCAGAGTTCACATCTATACAAACAGCTTAGAAGAAGTATTAGGATTTTGCATAAGCTACTGTTTTCATGTACTCTCCTTCTCACAGTTGTCCACTAATGGTAAGCCAACCCATGGCTTAGTGTTAGCATGTGGGCTTCCAGAAATGAGATCATAGCTGCTTTGTTCCTCTTCTGGTCCTGCTGCTGTGAGCTTGCTCATAGGCTTCATGTGCTGCCGAAACCCAGGCTCATAGTTTGTCTTGCTCCAGACAACTCAAGAGCTGTAACCAAGGTGGTTTTTTTTACTGGTTTGCAATTCATGATTTATCTGGACCAGACAAACCAGGAGTCCAGGTTTCGATAATACATTAAGACAAACCATAGCTTAGCTCAGAGCAGCTCAGCAGGACCAGGACCAGAGGGGAAGAAGAGTGGCTACAATATCCTCTTTGGGAACCCTCATGCTTGTGTTTAGTGTGTGAACTGAACCAGTGTGCATTACTGTGGGAAAGGTAGTAGGAAGAGAAAGTGGCAAATGAGAAAATTGGTTCTGAGCTGTGGGGCAAAATTTGGGTTGGGGTAAGTTTGTAATGGCTTGATTATTTTGAAAGTGGAATGGAGGCATCAAAATTAATTATTTCAATTTCTAGAATAATGTGATGCTTTGTGATAAATGAAACCCAGTAAGGTAACCCTCCATATCTCCTTTGATCTTCATTTTAACCTGTAGGTTTTCTGTGTCCAAATAATTGAATGTTGTTAGTGGGGGTTTTTCATTTTTAAATAATTGTCATGTTTATTCATTATGTGGATAAAAGTGTAACAGTATGTTGCACAACACAACAGTGAAGAAATATACATACACACAAGGCTTAAGTGTTTAACCTTGGTTAGGTTCTGGTTAATGCTCATGATTCAGGATCTACCCAAATTAAGCAATTGCTTTGTCTAGCAAATAGTCCCATAAGAAAAATGAATAGTATTAAATGATTTCCCTCTGGTGACTGGAAGTATATCTTCCTACTGATTCAGGTAATTCTAAGATTGTGCCTTCACTCTTTCATGCTAGAATGCTTTTCCAATAAAATAAAGTAGAATGTAGAATCTGCTACATAAATGTAATATTAACCTAGATTTCTCTGAGGACCATGATAAATGCTGGAGGTCCTGCCAAAGTCTAAATGGGAAAGAATATTAAAAGAATATTAGTGTTAGAATAGGATGCATGGGACTGTACAAAACCAATAGGTGTTGATTGGGAGTGGTACAAATTCTATATTAGTTTACACTTCTATTAAGAGAGGTTTGAATGTAGTAGGTAAATGAATTCTATAAAATATAACATTTGGGAAATAGCACTGAGAAACAGGGAACACATTTTCTTCATATGCAAAATAATAGATTTGAGAACATGTGTAAATGGTGTTGGTAGTGGTGTATGTATTTCTAGTGTGCTATTTTTGAAATCATTGAAATTTGGGTAAACAATAAGAATAGTAATAATAACAACAAGAAAAATGGGTCATGTATTGTAATGGGAAAGTAATTCTACCTTTCTAGGACTTCCGTTGTTGATGAGCTGAGGAAATGCTCATTTTTTTGTAGTCATGGGATATTTGTAAATCTACTGAGATGCTTGTATTATTAAAAACACAAATGACTGTAACTTTTTATCACTTTACATCAGGTTGAAAGTCCCTGTCAGTCTCACACGAGTATGAAAGATTACTCTATATAAAATGTACTTTCTTTTAACTTCACTGTGGCTAAGTGGGATGCTAGAAATCCATAGATTGATCTGTATTCGTGCCTAGGGCTAATAATACAATGCCTTCTTTTTGTAATCTAATACATTTACTTTTTTGAGTAGCCTCTAAACTGAAATCCCAGTAGCTTTTATAATGAAAAATCTTTTGCTTCTGGCTTCCCTCCTCACATCACTTCAAACCATAAAATGTGACAATGAACAAACAAACAAAAAAAGCCTTTTGACTCCCAAAGGTTGTCCTTAGAATTGTTTCTCCTTCCCTACCTCCAACTGTGCAAGAAACTTCAGAATTGGTTACCCTACATTTGTTTGTGTTGAGCTTGGAAATACACAAACATTTGTACATATTTCATAAGTCACTTTGTACTACCTCAGTTGATATCTCTCACTGTGTAGGAATGTATTCTTTTTGCACAAACGTTTTATTGTTTAGTCCTTCTATGTGTTCTCTCTTGCTAATGGTTATGGACAAAGCTACAAAGTAACTGTTACAGGCAGTAAGGAGTTGATAACCCATTGGGAAAAACAGACAGTGCTGGTGCTGCTGACCAAGACATCATTTGTTTGCGCTATCACGTAAACAATGTCAGTATTTCAGTGTAGCGAGCATGTGTTTATCAGGATTTTCTATTTTATACTCCTGCTGTGAGGGGATTTTTTTTTTTAACTTCATAGTTTATGAGCTGTCATTTAGCATCACAGATGATGCCTTTGCTTCATAGCCATTAATATAGTTTTATCAATAATTTGCAAGGGTGTGATTCTTTTCTGGCCATTTGGCAAATGATAGAAAACAGAAAAGTAATGACTGAATAAAGTGTAAATTTCAAAACAAGAATAATTATTACTTTCAGAATAATCTGCTGGATAAAACAAACAGTTGCCTTTAACTTCCTCAATAACAGGCAAGATTAACTAAGGAGAGACAGACAGACAGACAGACAGACAGAGAGTTTACTTACTGTATATTTTATCAACTTGACTAGGGAGACCTTAAGGAGCCTCTTGCTTTTTGCTAGTCACTAGCCAAGCTATTCTCTGCTACTTTCTGTATTGGAATGGAAAGGGCATTATTGTATCATTGACCTCTTATCCTTTAATCATGACTTCTTCACAGGGGTGTCAATTGTTGGATAAATGTGTCAGGTTCAACCTTAAGCATAGTAGTAGATTAATATAAATGGATGTCAGGATCTCACACTGGTAGCATCCTATGCCACTCTTCTGTTAGACATGTTTTGAACAAGGGATGTCTTTTTTCAGTAAAACTATAGCTCTTTAACTCTTGCCTCAGCTTGTATCTGGGGCCAGTCCTTTTTATTTTTTAACTTCTTTTTTGGCCTTGATGGAAATGACCACTACATATATTTGTTAAAGATTTCTGCTAGAATGATAAGCTATCTATTGGCAACTGCCCAACATTCCTATAATTTTCCTGTACTTTCATAATGGTTCTAGGCTTGGATATAATTTTTATTCCATGTCTTTTAATCACATTTTAATGAATGTTCAGTGTTATGGGTATCATGTATTTTTATTGTTATATTCTTTTAATTTTAATATTTTTATAGTGATTTTTATTTTGAAAAGATGCCCCAAGTGGTGTATGAGCAGTAGAAGAGCTGAATAGAATTTTGTATTTATCAGTAAATCAACCTTTTGTTGTGTCTCATTCTTTATGGTGAACGTTCACTCTGTGTGTGTGTGCGAGTGTGTGCATGTTTTAATTCAAAATAAAATTAAAATAGCCAACAGCACTTAGAATATATTATCAGGAAAGTATTGTCAAGAGGCAATCTGTGTCTAACTGCTACTACAAAAGATAAAGTCATTTTTCACCTGCATCCTAAAGATAGTAGGTTTGGATAAGGTTATGTGTAAAAGCAGTGTGGAGTTGCAGAGATGTTTATAGTCTCTGCTGTTTTTATTGTTTCTAAGGTGTGTGTTTTAACGCTTAACAGTTGATTGACATATTTACATTACTTGTTCCTAGTCCTTCTTCAAGAAATTGAAGCATCACAGTATTACCTACTAGAATATTGTGCCTATGAAAATAATTTCAATGATAGCTAATAAAAATACTAAAAGCTCAATTGACTCAGGCATCTAATAAAGTCAAAGGATTTATTAAGGCCTCAAATTGGCCAACCTTCTCTGAGAATCTTTAGGTTTCCAGGAGCTTTGGGATTTCACCCTTGTGCCTTTGAAAATTAAATATTTAATATTGATTTGTATGTGCTTATCATGGACTGTACTTATCATTCATTTGGGTTCTGTGTCAGAATTCATTGGGAAGAAATGACTAACGTTGCTGGCCAAAATAAACCTCTCACTTCCCTTTAACGCCAGGGATTATGATGGCATTACCATTTCAGCAGTCTCCTAGCCCTGCTTGTGTTAGAATTGCAGCTTGATATTGTGCAGATTAATCCAGGCAGAGTCCTGTTTTATTAATTTGCCAGCAGTGATATTCTTCTTGGTTGAACAATTACTTTGAGTGACTTAATGTGCAGGACTATGAGGAATTCTAATAGGAGAATAATGCAGATTATTTCCCTCTTTTAAGAAAGATTTCTGAAATGCATATATGCAAAGATTTTATTCTATAGGAAAAATATATTTATTGTTTAGGATAAGAATATATTTTATTAACCTACATGTAAGCTTCATAGTATTTCATTCCAATCTATGATCATTCCTTGCCCAGCATGCTTCCTCTTTTTTGTGATCATTTGTAGAAATAGCATTGCAGAAGCTGCAGAAAATGGAAGAGAACTTGATGCATGGAAGAAAGAAGGAAGGAAGGTGAAAATTATTTTGCAAAGAGCTTATCTTGAAGTTTTAAGAGCCATAGGTATCTAAAGGGAACAAGGTATAAGTGATATAATGAATAAGATAAAGGACAAATAGCAATTGCATAGCATTTTTCAGCTGTTGCTTCTTCGGAATAACTATAGCACAGTGGTAAAATATCTTCTTTGTATTCAGACTCTCCAGGTAGGGCTGCTGAATATTTCTGTTAGAACCCCTGGAGAGTCGTCCGGTCAGTGAAGACAATACTGAGCCATATGCACTCTGACTGTATAAGGCAGCTTCCTATGTTCAAACCTCTTCTTTGTTCAATGCTTTTGAACAATTAGAGGAATAATTATGAAATGTTTATGAAGAACCTCATTTGGATACTTGCTGCAGTTCTGCAAAAAGACTGATGCTTGCAGAAATGTCTGTTATACTCTAATTCTGTTGACTGACAATAATGGAGCTAGTTGGGTCATAGCTATCCAACAATCTAGCCTGTGACTGAGCAGGGTACTCACAATTCTTGAAATCTCAGCAGCTGTTGATACCATCAACCATTATAACTTCCTCGATCGGCTCTGTAGGATAGGGATGGAAGGCACTGTGTTACAATGGTTCTACTCCTTAACTGCAAGACCAGTTCCAGAGAATGGGGTATGTGTGGCAACTTCTGCTTAGCCCCATCACATTTAGGCTGTGGAGGCCTTTATGGTTTCGCCTTTCCCCCCATGCTTTTTGACGTCTACATGAAGCCATTTGCAGCGGTCATTAGTAGTTTGGGAGTGAGGTGTCAATGTTGTATGTATGCTAATAACACAGAACACATGTCACTGGAAGTGGGTGAAGTCATGGAGGTGCTGGATCAGTGTCTGGATGCCACTGTGCTCTATGGTATTCTAGTGTCCCCCTTTGGACTATTGCATTGTGGTCTCTGTGCCCTTGAAGATGGTTTGAAAGCTGCAGCTGTGCAAAATTCAGCCTTGATAGTTCTATTAGATCTTTCTTTAAAAAGAAGAAAAAGTGATTATTTAACATACAAACAATAGAAGAAAAGAATATAACATGATAATGGATGTCCTGTACATCTGGGTGTAATATCTTGGTTGTTAAAGTTCTCCAAGTAAGTTATTTTTACTGCATCATTTAATATCTAAACCAAGATTATAATCCCATTTCCTTTTACTTCTGATTTTTACAAATTCTGGATGGTAAAACTGCCAGATGGTTTTAGCAGCTTCGGACTGACTTCTTCATGAACCTATTTCAATTTGACTTCTCTTTTGGTGTCCATACAATGCCAGTCCTGAAGTATTTAAACTGGCTACCAATTAGCTTCTGATCCCAGTTCAGGGACCTGGTTACCAGGGAGACTGCTTCTCCCTATACAAACAAACTTAAGATCTTCTGGGGATGTCTTGCTGGTAATGCTATCAGTTAGAGAAACTCAAGGAGTAGATAACCAGACAGAAAGCTTCTCTGCTATAGCAGCCTGGTATACAATGCATTCCTTTCAGAAATTTGGTTGGTGCCAAACTCTGTTTAGTTTTATGTGCCAACTGGAAATATGCACTTCTGATCAGATCTTTGATGTATAGGATGCCTAACTGGAATGAAACTGAAGGTAGTTAATTGATGGGTTTAAACTGATTTCAATTTGTGATTATTATAGCTCTTCTTGTAACTGCCCTGAAGTTCATGCATGAAGAACAGGATATAACAGGATATAACTTATAAATTGACTTCTGATCACCCATGTTCTAGAGGAGACGTTTCTAAGATAATTATAACCCAAATCATTAAGGATTTCATTGGTCAAAACCAGGAAACATATTTTGTATCTGCAGAGATTAAATAATAATAAAAAATGGAGTACTGAGCTGCTACTAAAAACATGATAATGTAGATGGGTGCCAACTAACCAAGTTTCAAACAAGATGGGTCAGTTTGCTTATTGCTACATTGAAGCCACGGATTCACTGTTTTTATGAACACTTTCTCACGACAAAATAAGAGAAGAATTAATTGAATACTGTGTTTTAATAGCATAAAAGCAACCCAAATAATTTAGAATAGTTTGAAATTTTGTAAAGTGCTAGATTTTTTGAAGTATAACAGGGATTTTAATACTAATTTCTATATGTTCAAAAGTGACAGTTTAAAATGGTGAAATTGATAGCTAAAAATAAAGAGAAATACTCTTATGCATTTTGCATTTTAACAAGCCTGCTGTCTCATTGGAATGCACTGCCTTTTTGTGCTGCAGTTTATTTTTGGAATTTAATAAGGCACCTGTCATATCTGCCTCAAGGCTAAAGAATATAAAGGGGGAGAAATCCAAGGTACTGTCATGTTTGAATGACATGGGGCCAATTTTAATTTTTTATGGGAGGTGACTGAAATTAGCAGGCCTTAGTGGCAGAGATGCATTGCTGTGCCATCTGCTTTAAATACCCTGTGTTGATAAGCCAGTAATGACGTTGTCCACTGACATTCTGTGGGTACATTTGTTCTCTTTCTATGGTGGGCTTTCTTGGTATGATCACTTCTTCTTCAGGGCCATTTTCTTTCATAAGCCTTTGACATAAATCATCTTTTTATGCACAGCCCTTTAGTATATAATGGCAACAGTGATTATTCTAGCTATGATTTCAGCAAGACTTCAGACATTAGTAGTTGTAGGACTGGACTTATGGCATTTATCACCAGGAATGGGGACACCATCCAGACTGCTGAAATGATGTTTCTGGATGCCCAACTACAGGGACCTAGTTCAGATATAATAACAAACCATAGTTGTTTGACTTTGTCACTTGCCTCTTTGTATTATACACAGATGAGCCTTTTCTCTGATTCAGCAGGTGTCTTCTTATGTTCCTATGAGCTCTGTGTGTTTGCAAGGAGCATATTTCGTTGGGCTTTTATGAGACCAATATGCATGAGACACATGCAAGAATATAAAGAGATTTGGTCCTCACTGGCTAAATTATTCCACAGGGGTACCAAAAATTATTACTGTACTTCCTGACAAGCTAGATCCCATAAATGTAGTAGACACATAGCTCAAGCCACTCTGATTTTATAGTTATAACTGAAATTCTTTTGTATTGTATTGAGTTACAATAATCTGTAAGTGGTGTAAAAGTAAGCTAATAATTAAAAATGATGATGGGGGGGGAGTTCTTTGTAGCAAACATACACCAGATAATCTAATATTAGGCCCTATGAACCAGCGTTTCAGGATGAATCAGTGATCAATAATAGAGTGATATCTGTGGAAATCATATCCTGTATTTTCCAATAGGCCTCTATGTTGAAATAACCAGGTGAGACAAGACAGGTGTTATCTATGACAAACTATGTGTCACAACATGTTAGTGTGTCAACGTGTTGCACGAATACTCCCTGCGCTCCTCCTGGGCCTAGAAAGGGGTTAGTTTAACTTCCAGTATGCTAGTAAAACTGCATTACTTCGTCGCAAAATTATGCGACGAAGCTCTGGTCTATGAAGTCTGCAGACAGAGGATGTCAAAGCATTAGCTGGCACACTAGATTACTGAATTCTAATCCAGGTTTCATATTAGGACTGCTGTATTATATGCAGTCTGATTAACAATAGCCTGATACTGGAAACAACCTATAGAAATCTGGGTAAATAATATTTGGAATTGTGGCTCTATCGGAATGCCTTACTCACCACAGAAGGGAAATTTAAGGCACTTCAAAGATAGACACTTTGGGCAAGATTTGGCTTCTATTCTTTTCCTTTATAGTTTTGATACAAAAGCAGTTTTTTTACAAGATGCTTTGCATTTATAAACTTTGGAGCAATAGCGGGACTCCATGTAAATTTCCAAAAATCTGAAACTATGCATTATAATGTACCCCCAAGAACCCAGAACAATATGGCCTCTCTGCTAAAAAAATTAACTTTGTCAGACAAAATTGAAATATCTTTTTATCACCAGAAATTTGAATAGATTACAAACCTTTTGGCAAAATATCAACCAATATATGTAAAACTATACAATTTGAGAAAGACTAGCTATCACAATATAATTCTCTCCAAGCTGGCATATCTATTTCAAGTCATTCCTGTTTGGATCCCTCCCTCCTTTGTAAATGACCTAAAATATTATTATTACTAAATTATTGTTACTATTTTTAAAAAATGAAAGCTCGGGAGTTAGCCTGCATGGATATAGTCAGGCAATCTTGTTTAGAGGACCACTGTCCTGCATAAAACTTTGGGGAATGATTCCTCTCACTATATCTGGCATTGCTGCCTGACATTGCTTTATGAATTACACTCGTAAAATATTTCATACATGCATTATTTTTCTTATGAGCAAAGGTGGGACACAGCAGAACTGCCACCCTTTGTGCTTTGTACAGTCTGTCCAACTTTCAGCAAGACAAATGGCTTTGCTGACAAGTGACTCTGTAGCTATCCTCTAGAAAGATACGCATGTATAGCTGCTTATTAAGGATTGACAACTTTTTGTGAAAAGCAAGTAGAAAGGCAAAGGGGAGCTATGGAGTGTACAACTAAAATTATGTTGCAAACCCACTTGGCCCTGCATAATTTCATTTTTAAATTTTTATTTTAAATTAACATTGTGCCAGTTAGCATTTTCACAACTTTCTTCTTATTTGATATCATTACCTCAATCTTGATATAATTTCATCAGAAAACATTGCTTCCTTTAGTAATTTCCTTTATTCCATTAAATTTTGAAAAGATACTAATATACTTATTATTTCATATTATTTATTCATTTTGCTGAAGATATGCCATATGAATTGTTCTTCTTAAAAGCTAGTACTGTATAGCATTGAGCTGATGCTTAAAGAGAGATTAAACAAAGTTTCAGGGATCAGAGCTGCTAATGAGAAGTATTAGAAATCCACATGAAAAGGTTTGATACATTTATAACTATTAATACATACCTGCCACTTCACTCTTCCTACAAAGGTCAAACAGGCACAGACCTTCAAGCAGTGCCTCTGATCAGATGATCCATGGGAAACAATTCACTTTACCTAACTTTAGCAAGCAAAGTCTTCTTTATGCCTATCTTTGCTTTTTTGCTCCTAATGGGAGAGCTAAGAAATACTGCCTATATTGTTAGGGAATAATGGATTGTTCAAAGGCATATTTTCTTTCACATAGATCAGATATCTATTTTTTCTCTCTCTCCTTCTCCCCCTTCCATCATTTGATGTAAAAAAACATTTCTGGCCCTATTCCTTTTCCAAGTGTTGGTCTTAATGGTGCCCTTGGAACTTTTATAGTGCATTGGGTCTCCTGCTAGTTGTCAAGGCAGGGTTAAATAACCATATCACTGTTTGCTGCATTGCTCTGTCAGACGGTCTCTCATGATCCTAGCAGATGGTTATGCTTTGCCTTTTAAGTCAGTATTACTATTTTTATTTTGCTCATATGGGCAAATCTTTCAGTGTCTGGAAACTTGGCCTTTTTTCTCACCAGCATATATATATATATATATATATATATATATATATATAGTGCTAGTGGTTGTATTTGAGCTCTCAGAAGTAGGATATAGCACAGATAAAACAGGAAAAAATGGTGCACTGCATTTTTTTATTATTAAACAATCGTGTTAAATCCAAACAGGCTTAAACAAAGAAAACACCTCATCACTGCTATTGCTTTATTTGCCTGACGTTTGGGGCTCAGATGGATCATATTTTGTGAACCCTATCCTGCTGCTTTCAAGGAAAATTAGTTGACCATTTTAAAAAAGCCACTAGCTGCTGATCATGAGTGACAAGCCATGACATCAAATATGACTTAACTCTATGACTCATTCATTAAAATAAACAACTGGTAGAAATCATACTACTGCTGTGTTTTATTTGTATTGTAAAAAGAAAGATCATGTGAACAGCTAGCTTGTATACTCTTGGAAATCTCAGTTCATAATATAAATGAACACTTAACCATGTCTTCTCACTCTTATCTCAGCTTTATTTTCCAGTAGTTGTAGAATATATCTGATATCTTCAGCATGCC